AATCGCAGGAGCAGAAATCTCACGAGGAGAACGGAGACGAAAGCCTATCAAACTCTTACTGTAAGAGCAGTGATACCAACGATTGTATCGTTACATATCCTGTCTATACAGAAAACTATAATGGAATGAATATGAATGAATTATGTATACTATACATTATACTTGTACACTATATACATGTACATGTACACTATATATATATGATTATACATGTATACTATATATACATGTGTATATATATAATATGATATGATATGATATGATATAATGTATATATATAATATTTAATATACATGTAATATTTAATATATATATATATAATATTTAATATATATATAATATAATATATATTATATTTTATCAAACAATATATATATATATAATATTTTATAATATATATAAATATCACTGCACAATACATATAATATTATATATATATAAATTTATATTTTTTAATTTAATACAATATGATATAATATATAGATATGATTCAATAAATATAATATAATGTTATATATATATATCAATATCAATAATATATATATATATATATTTTATATCATATATTTTATATCATATATTTTATATCATATATTTAATATAATATACATAGCCAAATATGTATAATATAATGCATATAATATAATATAATATAATAATAATAGTCATAGTAATATATAATAATATAATAATAATAATCATCATCATCATCATCATCATCATCATCATCATATATATATTTAGGCTCACAATAAAATGCGAGGTTTTGCCGAAGATTCTGACTTTTTTTGCATTTCCCTGTGGAAAACTGCAGCATCCTCTGGGTATTTCTCCTAGGAGCTCGTGGGCCATAGTGCTTTGATGGGTGCCTCGTGCGGGAGCCCGGCTGAGGCCATCTTCTTGTAGCTGGTTTGTGTCCTTAGTATCTGGGGTTTGAAAATGGGGGATCCCCAAAAGCATTGGTTTCAATAAAGACATGATCTAAGTTTGGATGAGTTGGGTGTACCTCCAATTGTAGGGATTTTGTGACTTAGATAGTAAAATTGCCTTTCTTCGAGTGATCCCCACCGTGAAATAAACTTCTGCCATACATTCTGACATTCTATCTAACATAATATATTGTGCCGCATTACTGGCAATTCTATCTGGAAAATAGTTTGACATACTGTCTGACATATACTCTGACATCTTTCTGTCATCTAACATACATTCTGACATCGTATATGACATTTATGTGACATATATTCTGACATTCTATCATCTAACATACATTCTGACATTTTTTTCTGGCATATATTCTGACATGTCTTCTATCATTCTATCCTATCTGACACATATTCTGACATTTATTTGGCATTCTATTCGGCATTCGATCTGGCATAGTGTTCGGGTCTGGGGCGCCCCAGAGAGCTGGCGAGCTCGCCATAGAGTGGTCGTATTATGGGGATGGCAAAGAAGCTGGCGATGAGGCGTGTGTGTCCAGGTATGTTTGGCGGGTGTGTGTGTGTATGTAGGGTGTGTGCGGGAAGTTTTGTTAAAAATCAAGAAATCTAAAGACCCTCACCTGGCAGGTGGGGAAAAAGGAGGGACTATGTAACTAGATCTTAGATGATCTTAGTTGATATCTGATGTTGCTTAGTATTCCCTTACTTGGCTTCCTTTCTCGCGCCTTAGTCGGTGTCCTTTTTGATGATTTTGAACAGTGAATTGTTGTGAATGTTGCAGAATGTTCTGGCTCAAGTGCTGGCGTTGTGGCAGATAGTTTGGCCGCAACGTTCAGCTGTTTTGTAGGTAGTAGCTCGATTTACTTGGCTTTATGACTCAGACTTATCTATTGCCTTTATTATGTTTTCTACTCAGGATTTGAAGATGCAAAGGTGTGTCTCAGATTTGAAGGACCCACATCCATTTGGAAAAACAGCTGGCGGGCCGTTGTGCGGCATAGCCGCAGAGCACAGCCCACTCAACACCCAGCACACAGCACTCGCACATGCAAGGACAAGCACGTTGCTTGTAGTTTCCTTTACAGTTTGCGCTAATTTCCTGTGGCAAATTGCAGCGATGATGCTCGGCTGAAACTGTAAGAGACTCACAGGCGTTGCATGGGGTTGCAGCCAGCAACATACAACATCCATGCTTTGGCAAAGTCCTCGTGGGATGAGAGGATGACTGTTGGGTTCTTGGATGTAAAGTTTCTTTGATGCCATTCACCTCATGATTCACTTGGCATTCTTTGCATAGATAGTTGATGATAGTTGATGATTCGTCATTCACAACGATTTTTCGGATTCTGTGTGATTGATGATTATTGCATAGTAGCTGGATGTAGCTGATATTGATCAATCAGCTAATATTATAATATATTATAATCCAATATAATCCATAATTATTGAATAGTAGCTGAATGTAGCTGATCAATTTACAATGTAGCTGATATTCCAAATTCCAAATCCAAATTGGCTTCGCTCAGGATCAAGCTACGACCTTTGATGGAGGTGCCTGTGGTGGTTCATGGTCCACAAAGCCTGGGCCTCAGTGGCATCGCTTCGCCATGACTCGGAGCTGACAGTGGTGTGCTGCAGAGAACGTGGCAATTGTTGGAAGGACCTGTCTAACACCGCACCATATTGAACAGTTCCCTCAGTTCCCTCAGTTCCCTCAGTTCCCTCACTAGTCAAAAGGTACCTTGCGTCATTGCGTCCAGTCAGTTTGTCAGAAGAAATTTCCGCACAGTAGCCATGAGCGTGTGGAGAATTGAAAGCTGCTGTGATTCCAGTGATGAGTCCTTTCCGAGGCAGGTCTGAAGGGAGACCGACCACAGGGAGTAGCTTTTGTCATGATTCCTCCAGGTGCGATCGTGCGGGTTGTTCTTTGTTGCATTTGGAAATTGCTTGAGGCAATTTGGGGTATACAGGGCATATAGCAAGTATACATATACTGTGGTTTCTTTCCGCAATGTGCAGTTTTCTGGCATTGGCATAGGGTTCCTGATGGTTCCTGCCAGGCTCCCGACACCTTCGTCGGCCAGGGGGAAAGGCACGAAGGGGTGGGTCATATTTCGCCTGTCCATGCATCCTGGACAAGGACTCTTGGTACATGGACCAAAATGGTCCACTTTGATTTCTGAAAATAGGTTTGCACCCATGAAATTTCAATGATGTCCCGCTCAAAGATTCAGCCTGATTCATCATTAGCACATATTAGCACGATGCAGACTTTCGCCCTCTCTTGAACCCGCTTTGGCACTCTCACCTCGCATCACCTCGCATCAGCTCCCTTCTTTGGCACGGAAATCTTCGCCAAAAGCGGTCTGGAAACCTGGCCATCAGGATCCATCAGGGCACAGTTTGTACCCCACGAAAAACTCCTTGGTGCCGCTGAGGTTGCGATCACAGCCCACGAAGACCATGGGTGGTGCATTGCCCAAAGGTCCAAGTCTCATATGACAAATATACATCCGGTGAGGTTTCGGACTACGTGCAACCTCTTTCAGCCAGACAACTGCTCTGTAGATGAACAGAATCCTTCAGCATGGTAGATTATACATCACACATAATCACAGGCCATTATTTTCAACATGTTTCAACGCCTTGTTCCAAGTATTTCCAGTTTGTCTGTCTGCCAGTCACCGATAGTCACTGCTACACCGACAGGATTGCCCGTGCCGCCGACACGCGCGTTCCCGGCCTGTGCAGAGCGCCACACTGCCCAAGTGGTGGATGGAATGGCAGGTCGCGGGAATCGGCCTCCATCGTGGCTGCACGGAGAAACAGTGGACCCATGGAGAGAAACAGTGGGGATTTTGGTGTTTTTTTGGTGTAAATCACTGTAAAACAAGCATTGCAAAAATTTGTGGACCGCAAAAACCATGCAAAATCCAGCAAGTGAGTTAGTGATTGATTTTGAACCGGTCACACATGTTAGCATCTCACCATCTCATATGATGATGCATATGATGTGATATTTCATCATGTTTGTATCACGTAGTGCTCATGGGTGGCCTTAAAATGCAGAACCATGTCCAGTTCTGTACAAAAAAAAACCTAGAATTTTCTGGTGAAATCAGGGAGATGTTTGTGTAACTTACTCTGTTTTCAGGGCCGTTTCAGAGATGTTTGGTAGTTCTATTTGGTATATACATGTATTTACTTTATTTCTATATGTATTTCGTTTTTTTTTTTGATATTGAGAATCATGATGAATCATGTTTCCACTGTTTCACACAGAGCTGGTTGATGCTGGTTCAGTTGAAGTCCTTCCCTTCCTTGCTCCGCGGCAGGCCAAGGGGCTGGCGAGCGAAAAAATCACAAGCCAGGCGCCGTTCAGTGGGAATTGTGATTGGAACGAATCGAATGCAAAGGACATCTGAAGATCTTATATATGTATGATTAATGAATACTAATTAAAGAGAATCGCGCTAATTAATACCAAACACCTGTTACTGTCATGTACTGTATCTATTATTTGGATACAAGAAAAATCATGCTTTGGATTCGATTCGCACCGTTTCAACCCTCCGTAAGGAGATGTTTGAATTCCAACACAAGCAACAGTGAAGACGAAAGCGAATTCTCAGGAAAGACAGTTAATTCTGGCTGTGCTGGAAGCACTGATTTCAGAGATTCAAAATCTAAGACCTGAAATGTTTGCAGGGCAGACCTGCATATATTATAGTATATATTTATTTGATAGCATCCCTGGCCACATTTGACCACACTGCCGGGCCAGGAGTTGAACATAACATCAGAGGATACCTTCGAGGCTCAAAGAGTTTTCAAAGAGTTTCTTCATGGTTTGGAGTTGCATCGAAGTGACTTGCAGTCAGGTCATGATATGAGTGGCATATATGTGTATATATATGTATATATATATATTATAAGCTGGTCGTTCAAGAAGCTGGTTTGGAGACACTGGTCGTTCGACTCAGGAGTTGCCGCTCTTTGGCACAGGCTCGATCAGTGAACAGAAAGTGCAAGGACTTGATGCAGTGAAAACATCAGATAACCAGCATGATAACCAGCATGATAACATCAGTAAATCATTTGATTTGGGTGCATTTGCAGTGGACAGGGTGTTTATCATCATAGTCTGAGCTGGGCTAGAATCCAGAATCACTGCCGCTCGTTAGAATGTTGATTTGCTGTAGATGAGCAAGGTGAACAGAAAATGCCATACACGACTCTTTCTTGACCAACCTTGCCCAGAATCAAACGATACGTATGCACAGATGTTTGGCCATGTTTGACGTTCCGGCTCAAGAGCTTCAATATCTTCAATACATGTTTCCTTTTCATCCATTCTTGCAGCAACTGATCTTGCATGTGGCCTTTGGCCCTGAGCCCGCAGATGCCCGTTCTCGCCAGTTCTTGACTGCAGAAGCAACATGTGACCATGCCTTTCCCGCCATTCTCCTGGATCCTTTGGGGGCAGCTACTTGAGATGTCGTTCTTGGCTGTCCACTGAGTCCGTATGTTGAGACACACGAAACGTTGTCAGATCTGGAGGACTTGCAGCTGTCTTGTCCTATGGGCAGGAGCAGAATACAAGGCCATCCTGAGTCTGGCTCTAGGCTTAAACCTTTGCCCGCCGGAATTGCTTGAGGCAATCACAATGGCGGATGTTTGGCTGGATGCCCTGTCCATGCTGGTGGTGGCCCCTACAATGCTGGCATGGGCAATGGTGGCGTGGCAACAAATGCCAGAAGGAGCTTGGAAGCAAACAGCTCCACGCATGGTCCATTGCACCTTCACTAGCAACCAATAAGTTCGCCGTCGTTGCGGCAACTTGTGTACCGAAGAGTTGGCGGGCCGTGTCCTCTCTGCCAAATCTCCCCAACAGGCGAAGATGGCTTGCTTGCTGTTTGGCACTATTGGACTATCACCTGCCATCCTAGGCATCTGGTCAAACTCCAGCGGTTTGCTGAAGATGTCTGAAGGACAGGATCAAGTCATTGGAGGAAGGAACACATGTTGGTAGGGCCCTGGTAGGGATCTTGATCCTCGAGTCGTTGAACACAGTCGACGCTAGCATCCTCACGTGCGCCAAGGTGATGGCAGGCCAAGCTCGAAGGTATCACATCTTGCCGCAGGCCGGATGGATCCGGATGGGCAGATCAAGCAATGTTTGGCAGCTTGCAGAAGAGGCTACTGCTGCAGTTGGTGCCCCTTTGGCATTGCTGTGTATCCTGATTCCATTGAGAAGACAAGATCGCGTGGCAGCCGGGCTTGGAGCAGTTCTTGCGCAGGCAACATTCTTGTTCCTGAAGTCTGATGAAGGGATGCCATCTCTGCTGGCAATTTTGGTTGGAGGAGCTACTTATGCGGCACTTATGCTGTCTTGAGCCTGAGGTAGCAGAGTTTGGCCAACGCCGAACAATGCCGATGCCTTGAAATGTTTGACCCCTTCAAGGTGCACAAGCAATGCAAAAGGAGAGTTACCAATGACCGCTGACCTGGGCATCAAGAAGTGTATAGTGCTGGGCTGGTGATTGATTGGCAACCGGCCAGCAGAAAGTATACTAGTCGAAGACACCCAAATCAGCTTAGAGCATGGTTTGTACCGATGGCCAGAATTTTGGTTCCAGCATCCCGCAGGTTCTGCTTCTTTGTCACTGAGTAACAAGCTCTTTCCTGTGGGGCACCCCGGAACGCCGGAACCTTCCAAGATCATCAGCAATGTTCCATTCTGCGACGCCCACGAATGGGCCATGCCATTCCATGCCCATGCGAGGTCCGTCGATCCCACACGGTGGCAGCTCCAGTCACGAAAACAGAAGAAGATAAGCCAGGATCTCATGTATCTTCGATTCCACAGCCAGACCCTGTTGGTGTAAAACAGCCACATGGTATTGAATGGTATATATTGGTATATATTGAATGCCATTTAGCTCAATTTCTCTCTCCCAGCAATGCAGCACTCAACCAGGGCTATTATATAACATATTAATTTTGAATCATGTTCGTTATCCATTTGGACACTTGCATGTAAACTTACGTGGATGTATGGTTCTTTCCATGCTGTGGCGGCAGCCATTGCAAATGCAATGCCCCTAGGAATTGTTCGGTCAAGTGCAAAAAATCCTGTCACACATGTTTCACAGCACTAATGCTTTCACAGCACTGGCGGGATAGGCATGTGACGACTAATTCAGTTGCTGGTTTCAGACCTTCATGCGGTTTTCCATGGTTTTCCATGGTTTTCCTTGGGGGGTTCTACAGTTCTACTTTCATTGTTTGGTGCTGGCCGAAGTTATCCCCTGTAAAGATCTTCCCCGGTGTCCGAGGGATGGCGATGCTCTCAACTTAGCCTCGCGGGAGTCGTGGACGTGTGGATCAGCTTGTTGGATTCTTGTGATTTTTGCCCAAGGCCAGCCGGTATAAACATCACAAGTCCAACGTGCGACCGCCACTTGGACAGCTCATGTCGCGATCCAGCCTAGAGATGTCAAAGCCAAGTGTATCCATATTTTGATTGAATAAAAAGACAAGGTACTAAGAGTTTCCCAGCCACCTGAGAGTTCAAACATTCAAGCCTTCTGAAGATTCTTGCCTGGGTGCAGTGTGATGCAATGAGGCCGAAGGTATTTCTCCCGCGTGCAAAGACCACAGGACCAGGGCATGTTCCAAACAAAGCCGCGCCTGTTCCTAAAAGTTGGAACCAAGAAGGATACTAGGCCGCTGTAGGCCGCTGTAGGATGGGCAAAGATCAACAAAGATCAACACCTTCCAATGGAGACTATGGAGACTGGCTCCACTGGTGACTTTGGCTCCAAGCTTTCAGGACCCCGAGAACTCAATATAGCTGCCAGCCCTCGCATGCATGATCTGGAAGAGGAACACATGCCTCATACTTGGAATAGGCGCAAGTGCTGAGCGTTGAAAGATGTTGAAAGCTAGGAAAGTCAGCCAGATAGTTCCAAAGTTCAAGTTGACACTGATTAGATACCAGTCATGAGCACCTCGCAGAGTTTTCACAGACATCTTTGCGGATCGTCTGCAGATACGGCTTTTTGTTCCCACATTGGAACTGCCAAGTTGGGCTGTGAGTTTCAGGTTGTGCTTCGTTTGTCGTGGTTTGTTGTGGTGCATTGTTTTGTAATCCCTTCACACGAACACCAAACATATTTCTCTAGAAACACGGGTTCCATGGTGACTTGATTGATGTAATGTCCCTTATTCATCCGTCAGGATATGGCTTGGATTTGCCGCTGAGGATGATTACGACTCTTATTATCATTCTTCTTCTTCTTTTTCCTTGTTTTTGATCATATTCTATATATTCTATATATTCTATATATTCTATATATTCTATATATTCTATATATTCTATATATATATTCTTTATATATTCTTTATATATTCTTTATATATTCTTTATATATTCTTTATATATTCTTTATATATTCTTTATATATTCTTTATATATTCTTTATATATTCTTTATATATTCTTTATATATTCTTTATATATTCTTTATATCTATATATTCTATATATTCTATATATTCTATATATTCTATATATTCTATATATTCTATATATTCTATATATTCTATATATTCTATATATTCTATCATGACATCCTGCCGCCATTTGTTAAGCTACTATTCAACCCCTGCTTCCCATGCTACGGCTCCATGGCTTGGAGTTCTTCGCCAGGGTGGTCAGCGAAGGTGGCGCTCTCGCGCTCGCGGAAGCGGAGAACACCTGGGAGCGGCAGAGGAACGGCCAAGGGGTCCACCTCTAAAGCGCTTATGGGACTGGCGTAGCTGATATATCGTACGTGTATGAATGCCGTAATATAGTAATATATATATATTTTATAATATATACAGTAATACTGTAGTAATAGTAAAACCACTTAATAATAATAATATACATGGATATATGTTCAATCAGTTGTGTGTGTGTAATTATGTATCTTCTGTAAAAGTAGAAGTTAAGGGTAAGTTGCGAGAGTTCTGATTCACGGACTGCTGACCAGGACGGAGCGAAGGCATTCTGACATGCTGGGATTTGATACCATCGTCTCAATGGCCAAGAAACATGGCCACTTGAAGCTGCACCTGGAGTGTTGATGAGAACGTTGATGCTGTTTACAGGATGCCTAATAATTACAACATATGTTCTAGGCCCACTGTGAGGTTGCTGTAAAACCATTCACCTTTCATTGGTTGTTTTCACCTTTGGAAATATGGGAATCCTATTTTCATCTATTTTCATAACTGAATGCAAAGCTCCTTTTCTTGAGCCAAACCAGAATCATAAGACTGTGCCGAGTGATGTGGCAGGAGTGCCCCAACTGACTGAGCTGAGCTTTTTGCACTCACAGAAGACTTAGTTAATCCGGGCATCAGATTGGATCATGCACGGATGCAAGTCTCATTTTGGAGAACGCACCCTCCTCACAGCTGTGCTGTGATTCTGCCAGTTTGCCTTGAGCAAACCGTTCAATCTTCAAATTGAACGCAAAGCTTCTTGAAACCAAAAAAGAAATCGGAGCTTCTGAAGCTAAGCACTGTGCATAGCTTGAGGATTGTGATTGTGAGCCGTTAGGCGCCCATTTTGCTTGTCCACTGGAATCTATTTGGGTGGAAGCAGTACCAAGGCCAAAGCCTTGCTTTGAGCAAGGGATTTTGCAAACGCTGTCTGTCAGAATGCTCAGTCCAACTCAGAGAAGTTCAAGCAGGAATTGTCGCCGGTTTCTGATTTGCTCTCTGAGCCTTCTGCCAGCAACCAAAGCAAAACGCAGCAAGGATCCAAAGACCAGCATCTGAGTTGCCGTCGCTCCTGCGCAACGCCCCACGCCCCGAAGCAAGCGAGCCCGTTGGGCTATAGATGCTGAAAACGCGCCGCCGGCTGAACCGAAGCACACGAGAGCTCGTAAAGGTGCCGCCCATGAACCAGGAATCCTTGTGGTCAACTTTTCAACCCATGCAACCCAAAAAAATCAGTGGCAAGCTTACTGTTTCTAAACTGCACATGACTCACTTGATGCTTAGAGGAAAATTCACGCCACTCCCTGTGGGGATGAACTGTCGCTGTGAGTCTTGTGTGCAAGGTCTGAGGGTTGCTCAAAAAAGGAACAGCGGGTCACAACAACGGCCAGCGCACTGGTTAGCAGTTTTGTCAAGCAAATGCCAAAAATGCCGCAACAGAGTTCCAAACAGAGTGAATTCTCGTTTGACCAAACGCTCATCGGATGCTTCAAGGCGCACCTTGCCAAACCGACCAGCCCCATCCCTTTCCAACGCAGATTGAACACCAGGGACGAAGTGACGCCGCAGCCCAAAAGAACGACAAGGCGGCCCGCCCACAAGACCGGGCACCTTCCTTGCATGCGCAAGAGACAGCAAGTAACCATACAGAACATTATCCAACAGACCATGACCGTGCAACAAGTCCAAGGCCAGCACTGGCCTCGTGACGATGACAGTTCCCATTCCCCTCGGTCGGCCCCACAGAAGACATCCAACATAACCGAGCAGCTGCAATCCGGCTGCGTTGCTCGGGGGATGTTTGTCCCACCCCCGCAGGAGCTCAGGGGAACCGTGCCTTTTGACTGCACGTTTGTGTGCGCATGTGCTTTATTTTAGAATCAACTCACATCCAACCTGTTCTGATACCTGAACTTTCTGCAGAACCTGCACCTCCACCCGCAGCAACTGTGGCATGATTTTTTTTCCTTGTTTTGGTCGTGAGCGCTTGTGGCTTTTGCTGCCGCACACAAAACATCAACTGTTCTACGGGAAAACATGACGGTTTGAACAAGTTTTACCCCAGTTACAGCCATCTTGGGCACCGCAGCCTCACTTGCTGCAATGCCGTCAAGTTCTGCCAGAAGCAAGTCAGCGAACTGCACAGCCTTGGCCTGAGTAGGAAGCACATCCAGCTGCTCCTGAGCTCTCATGTTTTGCAAACGGAAAGCAGCTGTTGCCGAAGCCTTAGTGGTATCAGCTGAATAGCTATTTGTGGGCAACTTATGCGCCTTTGCGCAACAAGCTTACTTTCAAGAGCGCCATAGCGCCACGTTGTTACAAGCGCGAAAAAGGTGGTTGAGAAAAGCTTGATTGGATCAGTGGTTCCACACGTGCCCGTTCTAAAGGCTGCGCATGCAGCCAGTTCCAGTAAGCTTCTGAAGAGTTGTGAAGAAGAACGCTGAATTACTTGTTTCTTCTTGTTTCCACCAAACACCGGCACCCGAACTCGTGTCTCTCATGGCTGGGCCGATCTCAGTCAGCCAGTCTCCGGCCACGGTGGCCGCCACAGTCCCAGCAACACCTCACCGTAAACCAGATTCTCCCAAACTGGGCAACTCAACCGCTGTCAGCGGCTCATCATTCCCCGTAATAAGCAAATCCCCAAACGTTCCCCAAGCTAATGAACCATCTAAGCCAGGTGGATGTTGATACCCACTAGTTGAAAAACAAGTCCCGTGGGTGAAAACCATCCGACTGATACCCACTAGTTGAAAAACAAGTCCCGTGGGTGAAAACCATCCGACAGTGGATGGGGCGGTGGAGGTGGAGGTGGCGGTGGCGGCTGTGGAACCGCTGAGCCACCGCCAGCTCTTGGCGCAGGTCTGTCGCGATCTCCTCACAGGCACCAGCGCCAGAGCATGCTCAGCCACCGCAGTTGCATCTGCACGCTCGCCACAAGTGCGGCTGCGTCGGCTGCGCTCTCATCTGCAGCTCCTTCACCGCTGCCAGCACCATGGCGACGACGATGAACCATGTCCGTGTTGGGCTCATAACCCTGCTGAATGCAAAGTTCCTTTTCTTGAGCCAGCCAGAATCATAAAGCTGTGCCGAGTGATGTGGCAGGAGTGCTCCAACTGACTGAGCTTTTTGCACTCCCCCACTCACAGAAGACTTAGTTCATCTGAGCGTCAGATTGGATCATGCATGGATGCAAGTCTCATTTTGGAGAACGCAGATCAGGTCAGGTTTGCGTTGGGCAGATACCCTATTATCGAAAAAAGGAGGCACACAGGATTAGTGTTGCTCAATCCACTGTGACCCATCCGACAAGTTGATCCCAGGCATCCCTGCACAGGAAGTACGGCAGACACTTGGACGACATTGGTAGAGCTGTAGTTTTTTTAAAAGATGATCCCTGCAATAATATTGATTACATAGTAGTAACTAGTGTACAATAATCTGTAGTTATGTAAATCATGTGTAGTCCGTATTCAATTGTGGGATTGGGAATGAACTAGATGAGTCTCAGTTAATCTTGGATGTACAATGTTCCATCACAATCTCACACGATATCGCAGTGATTGCAGCTGGTCAGTCTTTGGGTCTCGGGTAGTGTTTGTAACTGTTAGGACATGGAATGTATTTGGGTTGGGGTAGCCCTTTTGGTTGGTGGAGAGTGGAGGCTGCAAGCGCGACTGGTCAGATTGCTCCCATTTGTTGACGTTCCTTGATTGAGAAACACACAAACTATCAAAACATGTAGGCACAACGCTGTAGCGCTTGGATCATCAAAAAGATTGGGTGTCAAAGATTGAATCATCAAACTTCAGACCCACAAATGGCCCGACTGACGTGGTTTGGGTCTTGTTGCTAAACATATATAAGACATCAACATGTCCTGAGATCGATGTAGAGACCCATCTTGGTCGGTTCACGTTGAGAGGTGCGCTGACGAATTCCGTGCCATGGACACGAACCGTGATGGCAGATTATCTATGCAAGAATTTGAGGTGATGGTCCGTCAACGTTGCTGGGCCGCGATTCTGTTGTAGCACAGCAACGCAAATGATTTCAATGGGGGGAAATTGTCTGCCTAGTGGTTTTCCATTGAAGAAATATCCGGCAAGGGGTTCACAGAAGATATAAAACAAACGCCCTTGTTTGCCTTGCAGCTTTTCAATCATTCAATGATACGGTGTCGTTTGCACCCGCAGATATCAGCCACTCTCATGGACACACCAAGTAGATCCAAGTAGCATCAAATTTCGCCGAGAAATCATGTCATGGGCCCCAAACTGTTATTTGTCAGGTTGTGATTTGCCTCCACATGAGCCACTTCCTGCTACATTGGGCACCACAATGCAAAAAGCTGTCCCTTGGTGGTGGTGGCCAAGATGAGAATTGATTTTAATTAATGGTGAAAATATGACATTGTGACAAAATATGAACATGATTCCAGAAGCTATACGTATCATTCAACTAGCGACGGCTATTGCAACTCTCGAAACTTTCGTTTTTGACCTGAACAAACTTCAGAAATCAAAGGTGCCTTAAAACGATCTGAGGTGGAGAAGCGCCCGGATGGTCTCTTGGTCATTCTATCGGGTCTGAAAACGTGTGATTTAATCCCCAATGGTAATTTTGTTGAGGAAAATGATAATAAACGAGCCGTATCCTGTGACAAACCCAAATGGGACCAAGAGTGTCAGATGTCAAGGCCTGCTCTCAACCTGCACGAATATACAAGAAGCTCTTTGGTCTTTGGGTGGACGTATTTTCGGTTTTAACCTACAATAGTTACTAGTTGCTAAGCCAGGTGAGAATACATGAAATTTAAAGACGTAGAAAAGATGAAGACCAAGTGCAGCCTTGGGAAACGAGGTCGGTGTTCAAAACAGTTAAGGGAATGCAAAGCAAGGTAGGGAACGCATTGCCTTCTGCAGGAACCTCAAACAAGTTTTGTTGCATAGAATTACAAAATGTATCCGCACACACACAGCCATACATCCGTGTCCTTACATCGCATCCCGTCCCCTCCCACTCCCTCTCCGACTCCTCCATGCATTCATTCGTACATTCATTCCTTCCTTCATTCCTCCCTTCATTCATTCCTTCCTTCATTCATTGCTTCCTTCATTCATCCCTTCCATTCCTTCCTTCATTCCTTCCTTCGTTCCTTCTCCTTCATTGATTCGTTCCTTCATCTATTCCTTCCTTTATTCATTCCTTCATTCGTTCCTTCATTCTTTCCTTCCTTCATTCATCCCTTCCTTCATTCATTCCTTCATTCTTTCCTTCATTCTTTCCTTCCTTCCTTCTTTCATTCATTGCTTCCTTCATTCATCCCTTCCATTCCTTCCTTCCTTCATTCCTTCCTTCCTTCCTTCTCCTTCATTGATTCGTTCCTTCATCTATTCCTTCATCTATTCCTTCCTTTATTCATTCCTTCCTTCATTCATTCCTTCATTCTTTCCTTCCTTCATTCCTCCCTTCCTTCACTCATTCCTTCATTATTTCCTTCATTCTTTCCTTCCTTCCTTCTTTCATTCATTGCTTCCTTCATTCATCCCTTCCATTCCTTCCTTCCTTCCTTCATTCCTTCCTTCCTTCCTTCTCCTTCATTGATTCGTTCCTTCATCTATTCCTTCATCTATTCCTTCCTTTATTCATTCCTTCATTCATTCCTTCATTATTTCCTTCCTTCATTCCTCCCTTCCTTCACTCATTCCTTCATTATTTCCTTCATTCTTTCCTTCCTTCCTTCTTTCATTCATTGCTTCCTTCATTCATCCCTTCCATTCCTTCCTTCCTTCATTCCTTCCTTCCTTCCTTCCTTCGTTCCTTCTCCTTCATTGATTCGTTCCTTCATCTTTTCCTTCCTTTATTCATTCCTGCATTCATTCCTTCATACCTTCATTCTTTCCTTCCTTCATTTATCCCTTCATTCATTCCTTCATTCTTTCCTTCATTCTTTCCTTCCTTCCTTTCTTCATTCCTTCCTTCATTCTCCCTTACATTATTCAAGCCTTCATTCTTTCCTTCCTTCATTCGATCCTTCCTTCATTCATCCTTTCCTTCTTTCATCCCTTCATTCATTCCTTCATTCTTTCCTTCCTTCCTTCTTTCATTCATTGCTTCCTTCCATTCATTCCTTCATTCTTTCCTTCCTTCATTCCTTCCTTCCTTCTCCTTCATTGATTCGTTCCTTCATCTATTCCTTCATCTATTCCTTCCTTTATTCATTCCTTCATTCATTCCTTCATTCTTTCCTTCCTTCATTCCTCCCTTCCTTCACTCATTCCTTCATTATTTCCTTCATTCTTTCCTTCCTTCCTTCTTTCATTCATTGCTTCCTTCCTTCATCCCTTCCATTCCTTCCTTCCTTCATTCCTTCCTTCCTTCCTTCCTTCGTTCCTTCTCCTTCATTGATTCGTTCCTTCATCTTTTCCTTCCTTTATTCATTCCTGCATTCATTCCTTCATACCTTCATTCTTTCCTTCCTTCATTTATCCCTTCATTCATTCCTTCATTCTTTCCTTCATTCTTTCCTTCCTTCCTTTCTTCATTCCTTCCTTCATTCTCCCTTCCTTTATTCAAGCCTTCATTCTTTCCTTCCTTCATTCGATCCTTCCTTCATTCATCCCTTCCTTTATTCATTCATTCCTTCATTTCTTGATTCATTCATTCTTTCCTTCCTTCCTTCTTTCATCCCTTCATTCATTCCTTCATTCTTTCCTTCCTTCATGCATTCCTTCATTCATCCCTTCCTTCATGCATTCCTTCATTCATCCCTTCCTTCATTCATTCCTTCCTTGCTTCCTTCCTTCTCCTTCATTGATCCCTTCATTCATTCCTTCCTTCATTCATTCCTTCATTCATTCATGCATTCATTCATTCGTTCATTCATTCATTCCTTCATTCCTCCCTTCATTCATTTCTTCATGCCTTTCTTTCTTCATTTCTTATTCATTCCTTCTTTTCTTCATTCCTTCTTTTCTTCATTCCTTCTTTTCTTCATTCCTTCTTTTCTTCATTCATTCTTTTATTCATTCCTTCCTCCCTTCTTCCCTTCCTCCCTTCCTCCCTTCCTCCCTTCCTCCCTTCCTCCCTTCCTTCCTTCCTTCCTTGCTTCATTAATCCCTTGATTCCTTCCTTTAGTCATTCCTTCATTCATTCATTCATTCCTTGTTTCCTTTATTCATTCCTTCCTTCCTTCATTCCTTTCTTTCTTCCTATGTACATACCTACATGCCAAAATACCTACATACTTACATACCTACCTGGCAAAATCTTGAACAAAAACGTCGGATACGCTTCATGGTCAATCAGCCGTTTTCAGCCCTTTGGTCCTTCCTGGTAGTGCCTCCGATCTTGGATACCATCATCATTTTTAATCAAGAACCACGATGTCCTTCACCAGGCTTTGGCGAAACGCACCACTAATGACCTTCAGCAATTTAGGGCGGATATGAGAATTGACAGTCTGGGCATATTTTGGTTGCCAAAACTGAAGACACATCTTGTGTCGGAAAACATTTGACTGCTGTGACACGAGGTACCGTTGGGTTTGAGGACTTCCTTCTGTGGGTGTGGCAGTGTATCTTTATGGAAGAGAGGCTTGGCAGCGCACGCAGATGTTTCCCGGTCCATGGAACCCCAGTGGACCCAAATCTTTATGCAGCAGCACACTGGGCTGCAGATGAAGTCAAGTGAGATTTGTTTGCAAGAGCATAGAAAAGAGAGAACAAACCAGAGAGAAGTATTCCACACTCAAAAAATCGCCGGAAAATGCTCAAAAAAACAATTTTAGGATGTTTTTTAGGTTTTTCTTCGCACCAGATGTCGATGACGTGACACCCCAAGGATGTCCGCAACAGACCTACCAGAGCGGCAGCAGCGGAGCTTGGCGCGAGAGCTGGGATTGGATTTGCCGAAGTTGGAGTCACTCAGGGTGCGCCGGGCGAAGTTTGGCGCAAATGGGAATTTGTGTTGGGTGCCAGCTTGAAACGATCCAGAAGTGCGGGTTTATGTCGGTTTATGGATGTTTATGATTCATGATGAGTTTGTGGTTTCGCATGGTTCCGCTGTGTGTTTGTATTTAGTGAGACATGCTGCATATGTAGATACGATTTCTATTCTTTGCTGCACGGTATGATACTCCTGCTACATGCGGCAGGAGCTCTTCAACAACTGCGATGATGATCGCAGTGGCTTTATCGAGTGGCCTGTAACCTGGTGTTGAAATATTTGGGGAACACTTTCGCTTGGTTTGGGATAAAATTGTGCGTCCAGCGTGCTCAACTTGATTCTATCGCTGATACATGCTGATACATGCTGATTGAGTTTTTGTTATCATCGGTGTAATCTTGTCATAGTCCTCAAACTGGACGTTGAACTTACACTTGAAGTATCTCAAAGTAGTTGAACATAGTTGAACATAGTTGAACATAGTTGAACATAGTTGAACTAAGACTAACTAAGTAGAGTTGAGCAAGTTGAACAATGAAGCTGCCAGGAATTTGACCAGCTCGTGAGATGTTTGCTGGATGCCAAAGAAGCCACCGAGCCTTGGAGTAAAATTGAGCCCTTCCATGGTTGGGACATGTTGGGACGTACTTCGCATTCGCATAGTTCACCTACGTTCCATTCCAAAATAATTATGTCTCAGAATTTTATCCCAGTGCCAGTCTATATCCATGTTTCCAAAAAACAACTATGTAGCTACTTCAGTTTTCCCTTATGAATTCCCATTTATATCCATGTGTACATCCTATGGGGGTCTGGGCTTCCAGGTTTTTAAAATGTCACCATGGCTTCACCAATGGTTGCCTTACTTAGGACGTCTCGGAGGCGCTGCTCCGGCGCAACTTGGCCAGATCATGAGTTTCCACCAGAGAGTTTACCATGGATTTTACCATGGATTTTACCATGAAAGATATGAAAGACCATGAATTACAGATTAAAGAAAATTAAAGAAAGGGATTGCAACCTGATACTCTGAGTGCCCTGCGCGAAAGAAAAAAAGGGACATTTCATGTGAAGCAGCGAAAGCTGGTATGGATCTCACGTGGTTGATTGATGCCCTGGAACCAGAGGCACACATATCAGATATTGCCAACCAGCCTTAAAATGGTGATTTAAGCATCAAACACATCATGGTAGTTGGATAATGCCAACCAGCCAGGCCCACCAGCAAGGCAGATTCAGATCCCATTAAAGACCAGTTTCTGGCAACGGGATCTTTGAATGATAAAATGCCTGCAAGACGGAGGAAAAACTCGCCAAAATGGTCCAAATGGGGATTTAACCATCAAAAACAGGCAGACAGTGGAGGAGATCTTTTTGATGGGGATATGCTGGGGATGGAATGCGGATATGAGCTGGATATCCAGACATGGAGTATACCATACCCCAATTACCATTTTACTCGGGAGAATGGTGGATAAACCAACCATTGGATGTTGAGGTACCCTATTTTGGGGAGAAATGGAACCCCCAGATTCTGTGGCGTTGCACCCTGTGGTGGTTTGAACAGAAAGTCGCCAGAGTGGAAAGTTGCTGTTTGGTCAATCACGCCAGAATCGACATTGTTCAGGTGACACCTCCGACATTCTTGGTAACATGGGCCCCTGCAAAAATACACGCAGCTAAATGTCAGGTTATTGGTCAGAAGTCAATGATGCCTCTTCTGATTGCATTGGTTTTCCTGACTTTGTGAGACACTTGGACTGCATTTGATCTGGGATCGGGCCAGTGTGAAGGCCAGACTGGAGACCATCCACGCAAGTGGCTGAGTTTGAAGATATGCATCTATATAGGCCTAAGTGATTTGAGATTAGAAATGACAGAAGACATCAGAAGACTATGATTCAATGATATATTCAATGATGTCAACGGTATGGTTGGTAAACAGGTCATTTTTGCATGTTAAAATCCATGGGTTTTCCGCATGATTTTTCGTCTATCAATCTGTTGGATTCGCTCCAGGATGGTATGCCAAGAACTTCGCTTGAGTCGCAGCCCCAGGATGCCAAGGGCCAAGGGGCTTCCCTCTGGGGAAAGTCATGATAGATCATGATGCCAAATTGATAGTATGGCTTCAAAAGATTCCACAAGTATCCAAAAGCGGTTGTTAGATGCTGTTAGATGCTGTTAGGCATATTCACCGCATGCTTTCTGTTTGTTGGGTCCCTTTGAAGAGAACATCTCGTGAAACAGTCAGCCGAATCGCTCAGGGAGCTGACAGCGCGTTGCATCGCAAGCGACGGAAATTTTCGTTGGTCCCCGAGCATTTGAACATCGTTGCATCTCCCAACGTGCTGCAGTCGATTGCAGATGATACTTCTCTTACGTGAAACGCCCTGGAACCAATGGCTCTTTGTTGGGATATACTTGTTTCGGCATTGTAGAGTTTAGCAGTGCTCTTTGCCAAATGCCAGATTTTTCTGAAAATTGGATAGGGCAAAGGGCAACCCAGCACTGACTCGAGAAGCTGGCTCTTAAGAGAACTTGCATCAGTCAGAACACGTAAATAGTGCCGATACTGTGCCGATTGTGTACAATTTTTAAGAGTGTTTGAGGCACTTGAAGGGGCCAGAGCACGTCTTGTGAGTAGATAGCACTTCAACAGCCAACGTTCATTGAACTTCCATGGCTCTATGGGGACCTGCACCTGGGGTACCTAGGTCCTGATATTCGCACGACAGATTTTGGGCTCCTGGGAGGGGACACAAACACATGATAACATACGGGTTTGTCTGAAAAGTATCCCACAATCGATTGGTTCATCATAATGTTTCCCTTTTTTAAATGAACACTTTAAGCATCTTCAAGCCACACCCAAAATGTATATATTTCTTGATGTCACGCAAACAGCAAAACGACTCTGGCAATGTTGTTCCAGACCCAAGTGGGTCTGTGAACCTCTCCGGCCTTGCGCACAATCTGTAATTGTGGCGTGACTCCATTTTTTTTGGTTCAGGATGGGGTACCCATGGGTACCCTAGATTTGATGGTTGGATTTCATGATTTTGATGGTTCATCATGTTTTTTCCAGGTTGCTATTTTAGAGTTTTAGAGTATATCCCTCAATATCCCATCTAGACGGACCCACTAGTGGATTGCCAAAGTCAGTGATGTTGCTCTTTTGTGACTCAGTTGACTCCACGAGTGCACACAATGAGATCAGATTGCATCATAAAATAACCGATCATGACACACTTGCGAAGCTGTTGATGCGTCAATTCTGCATGACATGTAGTGATGGCATTATAAGACTGAAGCAAGAGCAGGGCTTCCTAATACTTGGTGAAAGCCCTAAGTTGTCTCAGGCAGCACTTTGTTGTCTCATCTCGGTGTGCCATGCGAAAGATCTGACACAACCATTGGAATGGAGTTGTCATTTGGTATTTTCTTTACAGCACAACGCATAGGCACGCAAGGATTCTTAACATTGCAAACATTAGTTATATCCATTTGCCTCCCTAACAATCCCTGGGTTACTTTTATGGAGTTTAGCGGTGCCTTTTGGCTTTTGGTGGAATGATATATTGTTACAAAATGAGGTTTAGACAAGCTCAATTCAATCTGCAAAGATCAGCAGATGCGCGAATGATTGGGCACTTTGGCCCAAGATTGCTTTGATTGGTGTTTCAATGGCAATGGAACCCCCCCCGCAAGAAGCGATCTCGCAATGATGGGGTAAGCCCTTTCTTGTCTCAGATAGCACTTTGTTGTCTCATCTCGGTGTGCCATGCGGAAGAAGTGACACAACCACTGGAATGAATTACTACATGATTTGTTATTTGGTATGATCTTTACAGCACAACGCACAGGCACGCAGGGATTCTTAACATGGCAAACATTAGTTGTATCAAGTTATATCCATTTGCCCCCTAACAATCCCTGGAGCAACGTGAGTTTCCCACACAGTGTGTACACACTCAGGGGTCTTGTGATCGGTCCTCTTCCTCCTCCTTTTCCTCCTCCTCCTCCTCAGTATCATCATCTTCCTCCTCCTCCACATCATCATTCTCAGCATCATCCTCCACATCATCATCCTCCACCTCATCTTCCGCAACATTATCCTCCTCCACCTCATCTTCCCGACCTTATTGCTTGGATTTTTCGGACCTATCCACATCGTTTTTACTATTTACAGTCTTTGATCTGACGTGGGGATATGTGGGGTGGGTTCTGGCTGGGATGGCAAAATGTAATTCCGGTACCTCGTCCGGTATCTCGTCCGGTACCTCGTCCAAAAACCTTTCCAGAGTCATGATTCTGGTATTACATCCATATTCCATATGTCTCGGATTCCGTTACAGCAGGGCAGGGTGTGATTTCAATGTGATTAATTTCAAACTTTGTTTATGAAAGTCTTCCACTCTCCTGCAAGTGTGCCATTGGGATTTTAGTTTTTTTCAGAATGGACACCCTTTATTTTTTTTTGAAAATACCAGAACGCAAGCTGGTGATGCTGTTTCAATGCTTGGCTAAGCTTTTGACCTGGAATTGCTTTTGGCGGTGTGCCATTGAGATTTGACTCCAAGTTGACAGGTCGTACCTTCCCATATTCTGATTCCGGGCATAGCGAAATGCAAGCTAGGAACATGATTCAAAGTTTGCAACGACTTCGTGAAAGTCTTCCACTCTCCTGCAAGTGTGCCATTGGGATTTTAGTTTTTTTTTGAGAATGGACACCCTTTATTTTGTTTCTTTTGGAAATACCAGAACGCAAGCTCGCGATGCTGTTTCAATGCTTGGCTAAGCTTTTGACCTGGAATTGCTTTTCGCGGTGTGCCATTGGGATTTGACTCCAGGTTGACAGGTCGCACCTTCCCATTTTCTGATTCCTAGCATAGCTAAGTGCAACTAGGGACATGATTCAAAGTTTGCAACGACTTCGTGAAAGTCTTCCACTCTCCTGCAAGTGTGCCATTGGGATTTTAATTGTTTTTTGAGAATGGACACCCTTTATTTTGTTTTTTGGGAAATACCAGAACGCAAGCTGGTGATGCTGTTTCAATGCTTGGCTAAGCTTTTGACCTGGAATTGCTTTTGGCGGTGTGCCATTGGGATTTGACTCCAGGTTGACAGGTCGCACCTTCCCATTTTCTGATTCCTAGCATAGCTAAATGCAACTAGGGACATGATTCAAAGTTTGCAACGACTTCGTGAAAGTGTTCCACTCTCCTGCAAGTGTGCCATTGGGATTTTAGTTTTTTTGAGAATGGACACCCTTTAATTTGTTTCTTTTGAAAATACCAGAGCGCAAGCTGGTGATGCTGTTTCAATGCTTGGCTAAGCTTTTGACCTGGAATTGCTTTTGGCGGTGTGCCATTGAGATTTGACTCCAAGTTGACAGGTCGCACATTCCCATATTCTGATTCCGGGCATAGCTAAATGCAACCTAATAACATGATTCAAAGTTTGCAACGACTTCAAAACATGATGCATCTGAGCCGCTGTGCCTTGGGGATTTGACACCTGGGGTAACTACTGTCTGCCCTGGGGTAACTCGGTGTGCCTTGCGGTTGGGGTAACTTGCGGTTGGGGTAACTAATGGGTAAATGGGGTAACTTAGGGCGTCTGCTAGTATCAGGGATGTCTATTAAGAGAGACCGAAAGCAGTGATCACAGGGTAGCATCAAGGAGAGTGGACATCACACAGACCAGCGATGACCAGTGTTTCCTTTGAAAATACTTGATACCGCATTTACGGGAGAGCATAAGACTTGATTGCGTTAATGCATATTTTCACACGTTGAGTCCGCACTGCAAAGTCTTGAAGAATGGCTAGTTTCGTAGATCCGGAAACAATAGTACAAGCCATGACTCATGATTCCCATTCGAAAGTTGCTGAAACTTGAGCAAGAAAGAGAACAAGACAAAATGTCCAAACAAGCCAGCTGCCGCATGTTCCCTGGTTCCCTGATCCAGCACTTGCAGACATAGATGATATGAACCGCCTGAACCAACTTGGACTTGCTGTATAGCAAAAGCCCTTGGAACTAGGCATGCTCCCTCGCTTTGCAGTGCTGCACAAGTAGCAAAAACACCTTGAATTCAAGAGCAGGGTTGCAGCCTTTTGCTGAAGGTGTATCACTTGCTGCTTGGTGCGCCTTGCGAAGGATCCATGGTTCCAATATGCCCCTTTCACTTGCAGCAATGCTGTGGATGGCCAATGACCCTTCATGGCCCTTTGTGGCGGACTCAGACTCAACACAGGATACCCCAAGATGGCCATGCAATGGATAAGGTGATAAACCATGGAGATTTGGGCCAAATCTTTAGGCCGAATATCAGATTTCTGGTTATATAGCATATATAATATAATATAATATATAATATATATATAATCATATATAGGCCCATTAAATATCCGATGGTATCCCCATGAAATGATTGGTCTTATGTCCCCCAAGGGTGGAAATCTGTGGAGTCTTTCAAGGAACGAGAAAAGCGCCTGGCATCTTTCTGTGGATTCTAAGTGGCCTGGAATTCTCGGATCACGAACAGTCTGTGCTAAGGGAAGTAACATGAAGTAACTCACTATACTTCGACTAAGTGCCTAAATGCCTTCTGGTGTTTTCAAACATGGCTGGGAAATTCCCCATCTTGTTCGATGTCCCGATTTTTTGCCTGCATTGATACCATGGGGGATTTCATGGGTACGTATTTTTCCGGGGATTTTTTTTCAGATTTCCCGGGGATTTTTTTTTAGAAATCTATTCGCAGGCCACGCAGGGAACAGGCAAGCAAGCAAGCAAGCAAGCCAGCCAGCAAGCAAGCAAGCAAGCAAGCCAAGCAAGCAAGCAAGCCAGCCAGCCAGCAAGCAAGCAAGCAAGCCAAGCAAGCAAGCAAGCCAGCCAGCCAGCCAGCAAGCAAGCAAGCAAGGCAGCAAGCAAGCAAGCAAGCAAGCAAGCAAGCAAGCAAGCATGCAAGCATGCAAGCATGCATGCAAGCATGCAAGCATGCAAGCATGCAAGCATGCAAGCATGCAAGCAAGCAAGCAAGCAAGCACGCAAGCAAGCAAGCAAGCAACAAGCAAGCAACAAGCAAGCACGCACGCAAGCACGCAAGCACGCAAGCACGCAATCACGCAAGCAAGCAAGCAAGTAAGCAAGCAAGCCAGCAAGCCAGCCAGCAAGCCAGCAAGCCAGCAAGCCAGCAAGCCAGCAAGCCAGCAAGCCAGCAAGCCAGCGAGCGAGCAAGCGAGCAAGCGAGCGAGCGAGCAAGGGAGGAAGCACGGCAGTCAGCGAAGCGAGAAGGTGAGCAAGCCATGCAGGGAGCCAGCAAGACAGCCAGCCAGGCAGCAAGCAAGGAAGGTATCCAATCAAGCATTGTATAAGTATGGCGCGCGATTGCAATACCACCCCCCGTATCCATGTGCATAAGCAAAAGACATTGTAAATACCATGCAAAACTGCATTTCCAGGAAAGCCCCCCCCCGCGGCTTGTGACAACGCCAGAAAGGTGGATGATAAGGCCCACCTACATTGCGAATGAATGTATCATGACTACGTGACGCTTTGCCCCCCTCCCGCCTTTTTATTTTAGAGCCACCCTCCCGCGGCTTGTGACAAAATGCAAGTGTATGATACGGACCAC